CCCGCACTCCACCCTCACCCCTACCCCATGGCACCATTTTGGACTGTGAGAGTGGACAGGGCTCCCTGCCCTCTGACCCGCTCTCTGCTTCTCCCACAGAATGCGGGAGTGGTGGGTCCAGGTAGGACTGCTGGTTGTACCCTTGCTGGCTGCCTACCTGCACATCCCACCACCCCAACTATCCCCTGCACTTCACTCATGGAAATCCTCAGGCAAATTCTTCACCTACAAGGGACTGCGCATCTTCTACCAAGGTGAGAACAGGACTGTTGGCACACTGCTGAGCTAGACCACGGAGGTGTCAGCTGAGGGGCTTACTTGGGTCCACTGGTCTCTGTGGCCCAACAGTGATGGAGGGACCAAGCCCTTTTTCTGTGTAACGTGAAGGAATGGGCTAATTGCTCTCCTACGTTATAGTGGGGATACTCAGAGAATTATGCGGTGAGGGGGTGGGTAAGGTGAATTTGAAATCCCAATCTCGCTAGACCTGACTTTTCCTGTTATTTTTCTTTGTAGGCTGACTTAGATTGGTAGGTACTGCTTGTCTATTTTGAGCGCCCTTAGTGGGTTGGGTTGGGTTTTTATGGTTTAGTGGTCACCATGAGCTGCAGTTGGCTCCCGGGCAAAGGGTTTGGCTTGGTATTTTAGAATCAGGGACTATGTACGACATTCACAAGCTATAACTAGCATGGATTCCATTTTTGTATTCCTCCCCAACCCCACATTTCCTTTTATTGAATTGTTTTCTATAAAGATTCTCTGTTATAGGCATAACTGAATGGGATTTACGTTTTATGCTTTTGTATAAATGAATTTGCTCATGATAATTGTTATTATGACTGACTGATGAAGAGATTGCCACATGCCAGGGTACTAGTTACATTTCCGACCGGCATTATTTCACTGATCCTTTACAACAGGAGATAGGTACAAGTCAGCCCATTTCATAGGTGAAGACACTGAGAAACAGAGACTGGACGAGACTTCTTTTGGGCGGGAGTCAAGAGCAATAACGAAAAATGTTTGTCATAAACCGTTTTTCATTATTGCTCCTGACCTCCTCCCATTCACTGTCTGCAGTTGAGTGAGTATTTCATTTTCTCTGTGATGGTCATATAGGCGCTTCTCATGTAGTAAGTAGTTCATGTTCGGGGAAATCTATGTGAAGGGAGTTGGCTTTTTCCTTATATTTTCAAGCTCTGCTAGTTAGGAACAGAGTGATTGTCTTAGCGTGCATACTCAAGAATAAGACTCTTAGGTTCAAGTAGCGATACAGTTTAATTGCTTCTAACTAAATTATTTTGAAAGCTTATGGCCAAATTCTGTATATGATTATTTCCATTTTAATCTAGTTAGCACAGTATATATTCTTTGAATATTCGATTAATTTTAAAAGATGGTTTTTAGTGACCCCCATATTGTCATCTATATGCATTTTTCCAAATGCCCCATCTATATTAACCTTTTCGATAGGGATAAATTTGCCATTGCTTGAGCATTATATTATGATACTGGATTGGAGCTTCTCCACTGGAAATAACACTGCTGGACAAACAGCATGAATGACGGCGCTCACTTGGTTGGGCAGAGGAGCTGTATTTTAGAGACGTGTTCAGAGGCCATTAATGAGAAGGCACAGAGAGTTTAGTCATTTACACCGCAAACCACTGTGTGGACATTTTGCTTTTAACGCTGAGAATCAACTTGCAGATGAATATTGTTCATATGAAACAAAAAGAGAAATGGGGGAAATGAGTTTAAAAAAAAAAAAAAAACTCTTGGTGAAAGCACATTACCTTTAAATATTCTCACAAGGACTTTAGGGGCATATTTACTTAAAATGTGTGACCTAAAGAAATTTTACATACATATTAAAAAAAGAAAATAGAGAATCAAATACCTGTTCTTACCTAAAGCAACACACCTGCTTTTTCTTTTTTAAAAAAGAACCCTATCATTGTAATGCAACTCATTTGCTTGGGATTTTTTTGGTCCTTTATATCAAATTACTTAATTTGCATCTTTTCCTGGTCACTTCCAGAGGGCCAGCCTAATTCCTCTCTCTCCTTCCTTCCTTCCAGACTCTGTGGGTGTGGTGGGAAGTCCAGAGATTGTAGTTCTACTACATGGCTTCCCAACATCCAGCTACGATTGGTACAAGGTAAGGAAATTGGACTTCTAGGTCTAAAAAGTATCGAAAGCCAAGTACCTGTCAACACTAGAAGGCTCTTGCAGATTTGAACAGCTTAATAAAGTTTGCATGTCAAGCTATTTTGCAATTACTGTAAGGGAATAGAAACTCTGGTTCTCTGGAAAGGGTCCTAACCAAGTTAAAGTAAGTGCAGGAGTCCCTTCCTCTTGCTAGCAAAAACCCGCTTTCAAGAGGCTCACCCGCCAGCCTGGGGTAATTTCATGAGATGCTCTTTGTCAAAGGATGAAGTTGTAGGTCCAGAAAGAGGGGACCGGGCAGGAGCAGATGTTCAAAGCCTCCCTTTTTTGTTTGCAGATTTGGGAAGGTCTGACCCTGAGGTTTCATCGAGTAATTGCTCTGGATTTCTTGGGCTTTGGCTTCAGTGACAAACCGGTAAGCTACCGCTACATGGGCTCAGTGTTGGGGTGGGGTGGCCATGGGGAAAATGTCCTCATGGCTTTGTCCTGTCTCCTGACTTTTGTCTTCTCAGAGACCGCACCACTACTCCATATTTGAGCAGGCCAGCATCGTGGAGGCACTCTTGCGGCATCTGGGGCTCCAGAACCGTAGGGTCAACCTTCTGTCTCACGACTATGGGGACATTGTGGCGCAAGAGCTGCTCTACAGGTCAGTGAGGCTCTAGATTTATGCATGACCCACGAATTGCAGGAGCCTGCCAGTTTCCAAGGTTCCAGATAGGTTTCCCTTGGGCATCTTTCTGCCACTGTACTGTTTGAGTCCTAGGAGTTACATGTGTGTCTCCCCATCCTGCTTCCAGGTACAAGCAGAATCGATCTGGGCGGCTCACCATCAAGAGTCTGTGTCTGTCAAATGGAGGTAACTGCGTGGGTGGAAAGTGGGGTGCAGCCTAGAAGGGCTACCTTTAGATATCTCATTTACATCCGGACTGCTCCATAGGGTTTCTAAGACCGTCATCTTTACGAAAGCAGACTGCCACATCTTTCTCCCTCGGAGAGGATGGTGGATTTGAACCACCAACCTTTTGGTTAGCAGCTGAGTGCTTAACCACGATGCCACGAGGGCTCCTTTTATCTGAAGTTATAGGGCTGGATGGCAGGAGTTACAGAATTTACCCAAAGGGACACTGATAAGTCTGCATTCAGACTTCTGGTCCTCATCAGACTGTTTTAGTGACAGTGACAGCTACATGGTTGTTGTTAAGTGCCGTCAGAGCATTAAACAGGGGGACCGTTGCCATTGTAGTGCCGTGAACTGCTTTAGTGGCTTACATACCCTTTCTCAGAATGATGTTTTTAAATATAAAAAATAAAGTAGGATTACAAAGGAAACTGATTATCGAGGGACAATTGATGAAAAGCTATTATAGTAATTAATATATACTTTTGCTTTTTTTAAAAACGCATTAGGGGATCTGATAGGAGCAGCGAGGAATGTAACGGATGGCCCTGAAGCCACAAGTGCTTCTGATAGTCTGGGCTTGGTTTCCTGAATGCTTAGCTGCCAATCCCAAATCTCAGTTCAAAATGAAGGAACCCCTGGCTACACCTTTTGGAGAGATTTCCTTTTCTTGGCATGCCATTGAGCGCCATTTGTAAATCCATGAATACGCTGATGACTGCTGGGTAACCTGTCAGTCCTGCCTGGGGGTTGGAAAGTCCGTCTGTCCCCTTATCAGCAATGGGTATGCCTTTTCCCTGGTGACGTTGGAGAGAAATGGAAAGGGGAAACTCTAGGTGGTTTTTGTTTTTTTTTAGGTAGGACCTACACATCCTCAGAAACCCTACCCAGGGTCTCTATGAGTTGGAACCGACTCAACAGCACTTAACAACAACACACTTCCTAAGAACCCAAATCATTAACACTCTGTCTTCTGCAAAGTGGAAGGAAATGCTGCGGGGAGCTGAGCCTGGCCTTGTGCATTATGGACAGCTATGCCAATTATCGCCTGGTTCTCTACCTCTTAAGACGAGCAACATGATCCCAGTGTGGTGTAATTTGACCTCCTAAAATACCGTTCCCTGGAAAAATACTTATATAACTGTACTGAGTTTTAATTTGAATTCTCTTGTGGCAATAGCACCCCAACAGTGACACTGACGAGGATAGTCAGCCTTGGATAATGGGCTTGGGTTGTTCCTACAGATGTTGGTAAATGACTAAGTGAAGGCTCTCTTCCTGCAGGTATCTTTCCTGAGACTCACCGTCCCCTCCTCCTCCAGAAGGTTGGTGATTCCACTGAATAGATGTCTAATTTTAAGATTTGTGCAGACAGAAGCAATGCTGGGACCTTTCTAAGGGTTAAACCCATCATAATGGGCCTAAACTGAATTCCTTTTCCCCTGTTACATGAGTGAAATGAGGTTTTCCCTTCTTCTCCACACAAAGCAGTGGAAATGGGTCCTCCGTGATGAACAAATATTTGGAGAACAGCTAGATGAAAATTTGTGTGATGAGTGTGATGTTCAGATACATTGGGATCCTAAGCTAGAAACTCGCATCAAACTTTGGGTTTTAGTGAGGTCTAGAAACAGAATCCCAAAGGGAATTAGAAATTGCTCTGCTTTTCAGGAGAGATGAAAGTGGGGAGGCAAACAGTGAAAAGCCAATACCCACCTTTTAGTAGAAGCCCCTTAGTTGCCTCCCAGGATGAAACTGTTTATGGATGGTTGACCTTCTTTCACTCTCACCTCTCCCTGCAGCTACTCAAAGATGGAGGTCTGCTGTCGCCCATTCTCACACGCTTGATGAACTTCTTTGTGTTTTCTCGAGGGTAAGTCGTGGTCAGAGATGGTAGCTAGAGCTTGGGGACAACACAGTGGGAAGCTGCTACCATTACAGTTCTGGACTGGAGCCTGCGGTGTGCTATTTTTAAACAAAGGGGTCTGTCCACTTGCCAGGGTAGTAGTAGAAGGAATTCATAAATCAGCTAAGGTTTGGACTATATGACCTCTTGATGGTCCATTCATGCTTGACATGCAGAGGTCGACTCATGTTTCTCTCTTTGGACTCTTTCAGTCTGACTCCCGTCTTTGGGCCCTACACCCGGCCCTCTGAAAGTGAGCTGTGGGACATGTGGGCAGGGATTCGCAACAATGACGGGAACTTGGTTATTGACAGGTAAGGAATGTCCCTTTCTTTGGTTTTAAGAGAGACTTTGTGTGGAGCCTCAGGGAAAGATGTGGGGTTGCTTGTTCTGTTTCTTGTAGGCTTGTTCCCTATTGCAAGAGGTGCTTCTCACGTGGGAGGCAAAGCCAAAAGAGAAGGGAGTGGACCCTGAGTCTGAGCTGTGTGGCAGCGCCATTAGCTGTACTCCCAAAGCACAAGCCTCTCCTTCCCTGTCAGGTAGAGAGTTCAGCTGGGAGTGGAGCAGCTCCCACTGAGGGATCTAGAGACAGGGCAGTGCTTAACTACTTGAGAGAACGTGTTGTCTTTTTGCCCGCGGGTTCACGTAGCTTCCAGGGTCTTTAAAGGCTGGCCCTGCTGGGAACTGTGCATTAGAGGAGCCATTGTTTCATCCCCCTTTTGCCCCTCAATGAGATCCTAGAAAATTCACTTTAATATAAAAAAATGGAAAAATAAAACCCCGTTTTAGGATTTCACCTTGCGTTCTTTTCCATGGGAGTCTTTGGGTGGTGGTGGTGGTTGTTGGTACGTGCCGTGGAGTTATTACATGCTGTGGAGTCGGTTCCAACTCATAGCGACCCTGTACAGTTTCTGAAACTGTAAATCTTTACAGGAGCAGAAAGCCTCATCTTTCTCCCGCAGAACAGCTGGTAGTTTTGAACTGCTGACGTGAAATTAGCAGCCTGATTCCTAACCACTACACTACCACAAGCGGTGAATATGCTCAGTTGCTGAAAGGGTAGTAGGTTGAAGCCGATTCAGAGACACCTTGGGAGAAAGGCCTGATCTACTTCCCCAAACTCAGCCATTGAAAACCCTGTGGAGCTCAGTTCTACTACACACATGGGGTCAGCATGAGTTGGAAATTACAGGACAGCAACGCCTCCCCTGCCCGTGGTTTCTTTTTCAAAAAGTACATACCAATTCTAAGAGGTGACATTTGGGGCTTCCCAATAACTGGAGTTGGCCAGGTGGAATCACTAGAACACGTGAGTTCGGAAAGTGGCTGTGACGCATTACACTGTAGAAATGAACACTACGTGTGTAGTTCGATCACGCACAGAGGACGAGTTTTAAGCACAGCTAGAATTTTAGATGTAGAGGTCAACTTAGAGACCGGCTTATACAGCCCATCTACAGATGAGGGACTGAGGGCCACAGCTAGGTGCTACATCTTTTGAGTCAAAGTCAGTGAGTGACAGAGCCAAGAAGGAAGCTTTAGACCCAGGCGTCACTGTTCACACCCCAGCTGTCCTCGATTGCATTCTCTGAGTAATCGAGACACATAACCATTGCTTCTGACACTGAGAGCAGGCTTGATTACCTCCTGTCATTAACAGGTAAATTGAGTGGCAGTTTCCAGGAATGCTTATTTGATCCTGGCTTAAGAAAACACAGACTGTATTAAGGTCCTCCTAGCTCATTCTCATAACCAAGGTTTCCTGCTTCTCCTCCTGTTGACTTCTGTCTTCTGTAGTCTCCTAGAGTATATCAACCAGAGGAAGAAGTTTAGAAGACGCTGGGTGGGCGCCCTGGCCTCTGTAACTGTTCCTAGTGAGTATGTCTACTTGACCTTCTGCTAGCAAAACCAAAGGGCTGACTATGGCAACTCCCCCTCCTCCCCCGCAATCAGGGCAGTTAGGGTTAGAGAAGACGACTACAGGGCATCCAATGAAACTGGGATTTCAGATAAACTACAAATTCTTTTTTAGAGTAAGAGTATGTCCTGGACAATATCTGGTACATACTTATCCCACCCACCCCCAAAACAGATGAATTATTTCCCTGCAATTTCCCTTTCGCTGAGTGTCCTTTATCTGGTGACATCTGGGACTCCACCGTCATAGTGGTAGAGTGAGTACCGAAGTGTCACAATGCTGTTACAAGAGCAGTTGGTCTCCCCATCAGGAGTGGGTGGTATGTGTGGCCAGCGATGGCCATAGGAAGTGCTGAGCTGCTGGACAGAGGCATTTAGATGTCTGACCAAGAGGCTGTAGTGGTGGTCTCGGCTCATTTGTCTCTTTGTTCTTACAGATTTAAAAAAAAAAAAAAAAAAAAAGTCAGTGTGGTCTCTCACACGTAGTCGCTAGTGCTTAGGAAATTACTGATTTCAAGCCCAAGGGTCAGTTATAGCTGAAGAGTGAGACTTAAGAGTATTGAAGTCCCTTGGATCTACAGAAAGAGACTCCTGAAAACAGGATTTCTTCCTTTTGCTCCAGTGTACATAAGAGCTGGAGGAGGGGCTGAAGGCTGCAGCGGGAAGGGCAAGTGTCAAGCGGATGAGTTGGCTTATTCCTAGCAGCTCCTTGTAAACCTGCTTGGTCAAAGCGGCTAGGTTTTCTACCAGAGGTCATTGTCAGAAAAGTAAATTTGTGTACAGGAAACCTTGGTTTTGGAGGGGTTAATGATTAATTCTTCTTTTCTTTCCCAGTTCATTTTATCTATGGGCCATTGGATCCCGTGAACCCCTACCCGGAGTTTTTGGAGCTGTACAGGTGAGCTTCCCTTTGAGGTCTTTGTTTGTCAGGAACCTCCTCCTGACAGTGGTTGCCAGAATGAAGCGTTGAGGGCTATAGCTCTAGCCACCATCTCCGACCTTATTGGTTCTTCATTCAGGAAACATATTCTCCAAGGATGAGCTGGGAATCTTATTCACACATAAAGAGCATGAAATGCAGTTCTACATTCTCTGGTTTTATACAGCCTGTGGCCACTGTCATAGTAACTACATATTCTTAGGTGTGTGGGTGAAGGAAAAACTACCATGTAAGCCAAGGAATGAAAGTGGATAAGCTGTCTGCTTTAGTCTGATTGTGATGCCAACTCCCTGGCCTAGGTTGAGGTGAAGAGCTCACAGTGGAGTGCTGAAGCTCTCTAGGTATTTATTCAGGCGGTGTCAGGATATGGGATCTTGATTATGTCATAGAAGAATGTTCCATACCTTCATATGCCCTAGTGGAAACAAGCCAGCAGTAAATAGCTTGCATCTGATCTAAAAAAAAAAAATGTCCTGGGACTATGTATGGAAGGGCCTTTGCCGTCTTTATACTTGGGCAGTGAGTTGCTACGTGGTCCGCTTGTTTGATGCCTCATGCCTCTCTAAGGAGCTGAAAATTATCCTGTTTTGGCATTTGTTGCAAATGTGTTCTATTTTCAAGTTGTTGTCTGTTGGATCCTGACCACTTAAACACTAGTCTCCATCTGCCACAGCTGCCTAGGGTACAGTTCAAGATTAGAAAGTGACTGAGGCCTTCGTTGGCTCCTTCCAGTGTGGTGTGTCTGCAGTGGCATTTACTGGGGCTGCCCACTGGCTGACAACTCTTCCCTCCCTCCAGCCTCCAGTTCACCTACATGCTGTTCTCTTCCACTAGGAAAACGCTGCCGCGCTCCACAGTGTCGATTCTGGATGACCACATTAGCCACTACCCACAGCTAGAGGATCCCATGGGCTTCTTGAATGCATATATGGGCTTCATCAACTCCTTCTGAGCTGGAAAGCGTAGCTTCCCTGTATTATCCCCCCTAATCCCTATCTGTTGTGTATCCCACTTAGGAAGATATGCCCCAAAGAGGTCCTGGCCACTAAGCACGATTCTCTTACAAAAGTCCACTTTACTCACATTGGTGAAAACCCAGTAAAGGGTCAGTCCAAGTTCCGACTAAGGGTTGACCTATCAGTCCACCTCCCATTCCATGACCCGTGACCAAGCGTCTGAATTTGCCTTTGTCGTGTGTGTTACTCAGAATTGCCGATGAGCACTGCTCCTGGCTGATGCCAGAGGAGAGGCAGGCGGTTCTTTTTCATGACAGACTAGTTAACGTGGCTGTGGACTTTCCAGAACTGTTTAGAAATGCTGATTTCTGGCTCAGACCAGACTTGGATAGTAAAGGAGAAGGAGGGGCCTTCCCTCTCCTTGAATGGCTCTGAGGGCACGTGCTTTTACGTGCTCTGAGCCACGCGGTTTCCCACATGGTTTCAAGTGAAAGCGAGTCTCCCTTGTGTGACTTTGAGTTTAGTTTCCTCAGCTGCTTCTAATTGTAGACAAGCATTTGGTTGAGGTAGGTTTTGGTTTGAATAATGTAGTATTCTAAGTAGGCTTTTAGGCTATGATTTAGCTACATGTGTATATATATATAATTTCTTTCTTTCTTTCTATCTTTCTTTCTTTCTTTTTTTTCCTAAGGATACTAAACCAGCAGATACTTAACTCTGGCAGAGTAGTCAACTTCATAGTGAATTTCTCAATAAACTGAACTAAATCCAAACTATTTTCAGAATTTCCTAAAATGCTAAGACATTAATGACTAATAGTGTCTGTGCCAGAGACAGACTGTTATTCGCTGAAAAGACCAGTTCTAACGGCAAAGATCAGTCCGACTCTTCATACCTCAGTGCTGAGAGGCCTGTCTGTCCCCCTGAGCTAACGTGGAGGGGAGGGGACCGGGTGCGGTCCCAGTTTCCAAGTTAAATGAAGGCTGATGCCTTTGAAGGCAATTGTGGAACTTCTCACTGGTGGCCCCTGAGAGGCTTTCTCTTGAAGCACAGCAATTTCTGTGCTTTATAGACAGGAAAGTTCCAGACATTTTTACCAACAAATTCTGAAAGACCTATGAATAAATGGTGCTGAATACTTTTTTTTTTAAAGCCACAGTTTCCTTGTCTTAAGTCAAAACAAGATGATTAAGTGATTATTTTACATTCCTTTTTTTTTTAATTAGCAGCTTCAAGTAGAGCAACAATGAAAGTGGAATAAGTGTTTATTTTCTATTAATAAAAATGAATTTTGACAAAAGTGGACTCTGGCTTCCCCTCCCACTCCACCCCTCTTGCATAAAAATTTTCTAACATTGCCAGGAGCTTTCAGACACACATTTAAAGAAAATAATAGAGTAGACTGAAGTTAAGCAGCTGGGGTACAGAGTAGCATTTTAATTTTCAAGACCACCCAAAGCTGTACTATCATACCAAAGTTGGCCAAGTATAATCAAAAGGGGAAGAAAACAACACAGCAAAAAAACAACCGTGCACAAGGACAGACATTTGCTGATCTGCTGGCTTAGGGCCAAACAATTTGCTTCTCCAAAAGCATTGCTCTTTCAAAGGGTGATTCTGGGAATTTCACACCCCTAGCCCAAGCCCACTGACAGTGTGGTGCAGCAACTTCATCTTGCCCAGTAGAAACCTAGCCAACAGAAGCCAAGATGACATCTACAGGTGTTTCCTCTTTGCTTCTAACAGTCACCTGCATGGTCACTCCATCAGCTAAGGCCAGCCTGGACCTCACCAATAAGTCACAGCCACCTCTGAACACACCTGTGAGAAGACAGTCAGGAGAGTCAGGTTCAGAATGCACAGCCTGCTTTAACAGGGACACATGCCTGCAGCTCCTTCCTATGTCTGTTTGGTCAGGGTCTCAGATTGTGTTTATGGTAGGAATGAACTCCTACCAACAAATTCTAAATGCTCCTTCTGTTCCCGTGATACCAGGTGCATAGAAGGTATTCGACAATATTGACTGCAGTACTGGAATGAGGATCTGGGGGAGAGATTTCAGTAAGCGTTTTACACCAATTCTACATTTAATAAGCACAGAATACACAGGAAATCAGCAGCTAAACAAATTCTTCATTTTGTCTGGGCTTCAAATCAGAACTCAGGTAGTGGGGTGCTGGGCATAAGATGCTCCCACATCTCTTTCTATGAAATTTCACAACATAATATAGGGGCAATCTGATGGATGAGTCTTACCTGACAGATAGAGGGAATGGGAAATCTTGTTCTCGGGGACTTTGTCTGACCTCTCACATGGCTGCATGCCCAGAAACGTGATGATGTTAGTGACAGCTTCTGTGTTGAGGAGAGGAGGTGACAACATTAGCAAGTTCGGCAGAGGAATCTGCCTCAGTCTGCTCAGGGAGGCGACTAGGACAGAAACTGGTTGGCTCTGCTAGACGGTGGAGAGCAGGTCCTGGTCTACTGAATGAGATGAGTGACAGCACAGTTAAAGAAAAGGGAGTCTGAGAGCAAAACTCTTCTCACCTTCGAGGGTTTTGGTAGAGCTGAGGGCAAAAGTCTCCTCTTTCTCAAAGGTATCGCCCACCTCCTCCCAGGCAGCAGCGAAGTTAGGCTTCAGAACCTTCTGAATGTGGTCACACATCGTCACCTCAAGATCTTCCAGCTGGTGGGTAACAAGCAAGCGTTAGTAGTAGATAGGTCCTTTTAGTACAGAACCACGATGGAAGAGACGTGTTACTATGGTTTCATTATTCTGTGTTACACCCTTTGCAGAAGGCTAGGAATGCCCTCCTGCCCAGGGCCTTTCAGTTCTGTAGGTGGGTAAGGCGGTTAGGCACCTGACAAGAGTCATGCTCATGACACGGTACAGTCACCAGGTCTGCACACGCAACCACTGAGTTCAGGCCATGTAGTACCTTGGGAATGAATATTCACAGATAGGTTGATTTTTGGTAAGTTTTCTCGCCGCAGTGTGAAGGCGTTCCAGCCCATGATCTGGCTGTGTTATAAGCAAATGAACAGCTGCTGAACCAGAAACACATTTTGAATAAAACTGATCTCAAAGAAAATCATGTTATTTTCATCTTACTGATCCCAATTCTCAAGAAGAAGAGGAAGGGTGAGTTTGTTTTTAGTCATGTAGTGATAAATCCCCATTCTCAGTGGTCATCTGTTTGAGAGGAATGCAGACCCACAAGTTCGTGTCAGACAATCCCAAAACAATGTTTCCCGCAGGCAGAAGCCACTCAGTGTCCCCAGGGTGGAGGGCTGGCTTTCGGTAGGGACCACTCACCACATATTCATCATCATAGCCATCTTCATCTGGAACCCCAGTGTTGGGGTCGCAGTCCCGGACTGTAAATTTCATGGTGCAGCTGAAGGTGCATGCAACTGGTGAGAGAAACAGGGACCATGCATGACTGGGGGACACGAGGTTCCCTCAATAACACAGGCCGAACCACCTGCACTGGGCACTGTGTCCACAGAACCAAGTCACACACCTGCAGGCTGGTCAGGAAGGCCAGTTCACAAAGGTGGACTTTATACAGTCTATTCTTAGTCTATTCTCTACTGGGGGGTGAAACAGTGCCAAAAGATGGCAGAGGCCAAACTCAGTTTTTGTATTGGCATAAAAAAAAAAAACAGCAGGGGGCTTCCTTGTTGAATTTTTTGCCAGGCCTGTCAAAAGGACTAGCAGGTTGAAAAATTCAAGAACCACTGCTCTCTGAGCTGACAAGTAAAAACTCCCCATGGTACAAAACACTGACCACCCAATGAAGGCTGACCAAGTACATCCATGAGTGGACAGTGGACAGACGGTGGGTCCACAGCTGATCTGAATGGACTTGCCTATAGTGAGTAAGTTAATAATGAGGTTCTAATATAAAGAAATTTAGTGTCTTATCATGGACATATGACTGGCGGAAGAACTGGGGACGGTACATTTCTAGAAACAAATCTTTATGAAGGAAATAGGACTTTCTGAGTAGTCTGAATGAGGGAGTGGAGAAAACACCTTTAGGATCTAATCCATGGTACAGAAAAGGCCGCTAATGCTCACTCCTGCCCAGTCACTTCTGACTCACGGTGACCCTAGAGGACAGGAGGAGAAGTGCCCCAAAGGGTTTTAAAGCCACCAGTCTTTATGGAAACAGACTGCCACATCTTTCTCCTGTGGAGCAGCTGACCCTTTTGTTTAGCAGTTGAGCTCTTTAACCAATGCTCCACGAGGGCTCCTAGGAAAGCCTTATAGGTGCCATAATTACCAGAAATTGGGGAGTTAGACTATTACTTGGGGGACAGCAAGGAGAGAAAATAATAGATTTGGATATAAAGACAAGGTGAATGACATGGGTGGGTAGACAGACATTCACCTGCTCAATCTTTAAATTCATTCTATCCATTATCCATCCATCCATCAATCTAAATGTGTAGTGAACACATGTCAATATATATTGACATTACATGTCAAGCTAATTGTGAGACATGACCTCTGTCTCCAAGAGGTGACTGGGAGTTACATGTGTCTGAGATCAACACCATTATAATTCAGTGCCACAGGGTCATTAAAGTGTTGGCAGGGTGCCCTATGTCAGTCTGGGTAAGTCATAAAAAAATTGAAAGGATATAATAGTTTGATTAGATCTCAAAAGATAAGAAAACTTTGCAAGCAGTGGAGGGTATGTGGAGAGGTTGAATAATGCATAAGTAAGGAGAAGAGAATGTGTTCGGACGTGTATTTCTAACGAAGGAGTCTTTGACAATTTACAGCAGGTAGTCAGATATTGGAAGGTTAGAGACTAGCTGAGTTACGGTGGTGCCTAACTGCAGCCACTGGTGGGAATCGTCTGACAAACAGGCCAGAGTACAGAGAGCAGGTGGAGTCAGTGGAGTGTCAAAAACAGATGATGATAGCTGGTTGACCGGTGAGCCAAGTGCCTTATAGGAAAGAGTCTGCCAATCAAGTCTACAGAATCAATTTCAGTGCTATCCAGGGGCTGGTGGTTTTCTATGGGTTGAAAGGAGAATGAAGAAGGACATTGGCACAGATCCAGAAAATGTTTAGCTGAGGTA